CACACATTATTTATCATGGCTTATAATGCCTAGTTAACACACGTACACTACCAACACAAGCTCACCACGTTCTGACTACTTTCGCGCCCGTCTTGATTCCCATAATGCCAGCCCATAGGTCTTGAGGAACTGGGTGTTGTCAGTGAACCTTGACCTACGCAAGATTGTTTGCATCTACTCTACACACTGGCTGAATGCTGATTAAAATCACAATATCTTACATAGGGCTTTGAATAACAAAGGAATTTCAATAATATTTTTATACGCTGAACACTGAATATGAAAATTTCAACATTGATATTACTATCTCAAATTGACAAGAACTAGATTAAATAGTGGGTATAAAAGTGAGTGATTTAGTGAAAAGTGTGTAGAAATTGCAAGAAGAGATATTTGCTGTCATCATGGATGCCACAAATGAGCAAGAATCTCAACCAAGTGATTTTATGAAGAAAAGAAGAAATACATACTTCGAAGTTGACCATTTGCCAGATAACATTATTAGCAGAATATTCAGATTACTGCAAAGAAAATCTGATGACCCAACAGTTCCCATAAATGGACTGATCAAAGTGAGTTTTTTCTGCTGGCCCTTCTATTTCACTGTTTTGTGCAATAAAAACCTTGTTTGACAACTCGAATACCAAAATATTGTCCTATATTCAGATACTTGATATAGTAAACTGAGCTGTAGCTGCGATAAGGTAGACGATTTTTTATATTTCTCTGCATGATGTGGAATTTATTAATTGCGAGGCATTGTGCAACCAATATTTTTATCCACAATATCTGCTAACCAGGCGGTTACATTTATAAAATTATAAAAACGTGTTAAATTTCTATGTTAGTGCCAACCATAGATATCCATGAAAACAACTTCTTACTACAGACTTAAGATCAGAATATCATTTCCCTTCCCCTCAGTTTCTCGAAATTAGACTTCCTAAGAAAGTTCTGTGGTTTTGTTCCATACACTTATAAAGGTGACAAATAGCCGATTTTCACTGTTAATTTTGAATTTTCGAAAATTGCGAAAGTTTGATTTTTTTAACATACCACTAAGTCTTCCTAAAATTACACAACTAAAGATAGAGAATTTTCTTTCAAATTAAATTTGTCCTCCATTATTAGTTCTTTCATTAAGATTATGTACGTTTTTTTTTGAAAATAGTAGTTTTCGAGCAATATTTCGTGAAAAATATGCAATATAAAAAATGAAAAAAGTAAAATTTTCTCAAAAACGTCTGCAATTTTTTTTTTTAAACTTTTGGTAGGGATTGTGCTAAAAGTACTTTATGATATGACATAAACGTCATATTTCTCTATTCTTTTGTTTCTTAAAAATACATAAATATATTTTTTGACTAGCCTGTCACCTCGATTATATTTAGATTAGCAGCAATTTGTTCACATTATTGCATTTACGAGTTCATGTGCTTTAAATGTGGCTGGAAAAAATATCAAAAACCCAAACGTTTTTTGTGAAAACGATCACAAAATTCCGCATTTTCATAAACGCTCAAACGCTATTTTCTCACATACGGCTCCATTTGTTTCTTCTTTCTGTACGGTCAGTGCTAATTACACTGTTTACGATTACATAAAATTCATTTTGCTCTATTCTTTTATTTTTTCAAACATTAGACAATTGTAATTTTTTTAAATATCTCTCAGGACGTCAATATGCACATATCCAGCGATTTGTATTTATTATTGCATTAGTGAATGAAAGTTCTTTAAATGACTTCCAATGAAATTCATCGTTAAATCAAGTATTTTTTTGTGTGGTGGAGCTAAAATTTCACATTTACAGTAACGCTTAAAAGACATTTTCTTAAAAACAGCTTCAAATGTTTCAATAAAAATTTCTTTATTGAACGAAATGAAAAGATTGAAAGTTATATTTCGGTTATACTATTAGAAAACCAAACAATTAAGAAAATATTTTAAAAAATATTTTGAGGGGCAATTGATGGCAGCTGCCAAGGGCATGTGACAAAATAATCAAGCTATCTCAGACCAAAGAAATTATAAAATTTTAGTACGAGAACGTTTGTGCCATTGCGTGACACCTCTAGTTGCATATTGAACTTAAACGTTTTCTGTGAAAACGAGCTCAAAACTCCGCATTTTCAGAAATGCTCAAACGCCATTTTCTAAAAAACAGCTCCAATTTTTTCTTCAATCTTTTCGTACGACTAGTGCTAAATACACTCTTCAAGATGACATAAAATCAATTTTGCTGTATACTTTGTTGTTGTTTTTCTTAAAAAATTACACATTTCCAGCGATTTGTGTATATTATTGAATTTGTTAGTGGAAGAGATTCAAATGACTTCCAATTAAGTTTTTCAAAAACAAAAGATTTCTGTGTGTTAAAAATGGCAACAAAGTTTTAAACAAAAATGTTCTTATTGAACGAGGTTTTACTCTTACTTAATATTCTTAAAGTAGGTGTTAGATGGTACCTGGCAAGAGAATGGGACAAGGCTTTAAAGCTAGCCCACGCCAAGGAAATTAGAAAACTTTACTATGAAAATATCTATGCCATTGTACAGCACTACTAGTTTCTGTTAGCATGATCACACACTTCGTTGTTCTTGGGTTTTCTTTAATTGTAATTAGAATGTCAAGTTCTAGCGATCTAGCGATGGATCTTTAAGTGATAGATAATTTGGAAATAAAAGAACTTCTCGCGATATTATCTTAGAAGAAGCAAGAGCCGAAAAAATGACGGGATCATTTAAATTTAAATATAAGAATGTGAAAGAAAATAGTTTCACGTGTTGAAAATTTCTTTCATACTTCATTTCTTTCATGCCCAGCTTTGTTTGAAGATGTTCATTCAGTATCTGGCAGTTATTACTCGCTTAACTTTTCTTGAACGATGACCTTGCTTCCCCGTCTCTGGCACAATAAACAGATGAAGGCAAAAGCTCGTAGCGAGCACTGATGACAACATTCTAAAAACATCTTCACTGGCGCGAAATAGAAACAATTTCTTTTGAAAACGAGAACTTCTATCCGTTATTTTCTCCAAAAATCTAAAGAAATTGCCGAATAAGGTAAAGATCTATCACAGGAGATACCTCGAACTTCTGATAAAGTTAGAACGCAAATTATTGAGAACGTTACGAAGGCGTGACTGATTCTCCAGAGATTGGCATTGCTTCATAAAATCTAGTGGCTGATTTCTTAACTAATACCCCCACTCTACCCGTATTTCTTCAATCCATCGTCCAAGAAAAGTTGCGCGGGTAATACTAATGAATCTTAGTAACCGATAACGTTATAATCCTGTTCAATTCTTTCCAACACTCAATGGTCTTGTGTGTTACCTCCATACGGGATATGAACGGGTTTTATTCCCATTTCAAAATTATTATCACTGTAACAAATATTAGCAGGCTTTGATGCTAATATTTAAATTTTAGTACAGCTACATTTTTACGCATTTTTGGTAATAGGCACAACAATGTACATAGCAAATCTACATTAGCACAAATGCTAAATGCAAAAATACAGATCATTTCAAACTAGTTCCGAAAATTCTGTCGCACCATCTTTTACAACTACATTTGATTCTCCCCGGATTTCCTTAACACTTTCATATTTTTCTCCCTTGATTTTTGAAGAGATTAAAACTTCACAAACCCAGTCTAATTTGTGTTCACTTGTACTTCTGCAATTGATAAATTAATTATTTTTAATGCCTATCTAACATTAGAAGCTGACTATTTTGTACGTTTATGCGAATAAGCTTTTAATTAATTTGAATAAGAATAAGTTGTGGGTCATTCATTTGAAAACGGAATTTGCACACTTATGTGAAAACGTAAATGTGCGAAGTAAACATAACTTTCATTCATTCTCTAGCATTATTCATAGTTTTGTTTTCTTCATATTCAATTGAAATTTTCCAAGTTCAATATGTTACGAGGCAATACTGTTCGTAGGTATTCGCAAATTCAATTTTAAAAATACGATAATAATTTGTACTCTAAATAGAAATCAATCTGCTGCGCGATTTCTTGGTAATTCAATTGTTGACTTCAAGATGTCAACATCAGTGTTGCCAACGTCGTGAATTATAGCATATTAAGCAAAAAATACCTTTGGATTCTGGTATTTAATCAACGCCACCTTCATAGTTTGATTTAAGAGGCGTTGGTTTATTTCCTAGCATTATCACTAAGATCGCAGCGCCAAAACACGAAAAGACACATTTTGGGAAATTTCGTTAAATTGTCTTGCTGGATCCGAAAAAAATTATCATTTCCCCGTCAGTAGATCGAGACGTGTCGAATGACATCTCATACGTCTCAATTGATGCACAGGGTGTGGTCTAGAAGCCAGTGGCGAAATGGCGAAAACACACACCTGCACGTCCGCATGCTACAGAGTTTTACTCAAATACTGTATAATGATTCTTTAGTAATATCTAATTTTGTAAGTGCCGAGATGTGAGAGGGGTAAGAAGTCTTACAGAAAATCGTACTTTTCCCGTTCTTTTCCGAAATGAGAGAGAAGTACCGCCCTACAGCTCTTTACTACATTGTTTAATTACATTTTATTTAAAAACATGCACATGTGTAATGTAACATGTAAAATGTTGCACACAACATGCAACATGTGCATGCAACATGTGACATGTAACATGTGACATGTAAAATGACATATATAGCTTGCTGATAGTAGTTTGTGTTTTTAGCTAGATGAAGACGTGGCTTGTGCCACAATTAAAAGCGCTTATACGTTTACATACTAAATCTACAACATAACCAACACGTCACGTCACAAGTCACGATATTTTAAATATAATGCAATGACTTTTGATTACTCGTGTCCAGCAGTTGCGTGGTGAAAAATGGTTAGAGTGGAGTAAAAAAATCAATTCATGACGCTTTCAGCAGAATCATCTTAAAATGAACATTTTTCTTGCCTAAAAACAGTATATCGATGAGCTACTTTCCTGACAGTCTCGAATAAATGATTTTCAGATGATGGAGGCAGCAGGAATACGAAGCACTGACCCTCGTCTGAAGCAATTCATGGAACGCGTATCAAAAGAAAAAGACCACGTGAACGAGAAAACATTGGAGAAGTACGTATTAACAGATTTTGAATACATGAAAAAACCCTAGGAGTTGTGAATCTTCAAATTAGCGTCTTGAGAATATTTAAATAAAGCGTATTTTGCAAAAATAGAATGTAGTATTTTTGGCCCTTAATTTTCTCTGATAATTTTACTTTTGTTCGTAGATCTTTACTAGCATTGACCAATGGAGACAAAAATTTTAAAAAAGTGTATAATTTAATATATAACATCTACTGAATGCCGTAATAGAAAAAAATCGCTTCTCGTTTATTTACGTTTGTATTACTCTCAGAGAATTTCATCGGTGTCTCTCAAGGTCTGTTATTGCCGCCCACTTGCTCCAGCGCGTTGTCGCATGACATCATTGTTGTTTCCCAATGTTCTTTGTGCGGATTTTATAGGCCAAAGAAATTTACAGAATTTAATTATCTTTTTCTACCTTTTCTTTTTTGATTAAATTTGGAAAAATGACATTTAATTGAAGTAATGCAGAGTTTGATTCCCTGGATGTTCCTTGACAGTATCTTTCTACAAGATGATCTGCTTTTCAAGATTTGAAAACCTGTTATATCTATCAAAACGCTTCATATTGCATGTTTAAGTTTGATGGGAGACTTTTAGTGTATCCATGAAACAATATCACGGATCATTGCACTGCTTTACCGTAAATGTAAGAGTGTAATTTCTTCAAACTGAAATCGATAAAATATCGTGTAGAACAATAGTTGAAAATACTTATGAAAAACAGATTTCATGAAACAAAAAACCAATATTCTTGTTGAAAAAAGAGACTGAAAGAATGAAACTTTTGCAATTTTCGAAGAGTCAGAAAGCTCAAAGAAAATTGAAATTGCGCCATTTGCTCTATATCAAAAAAGAAATAATAAACATTTGTAGCTTTTGCCGAAGCATTACAATCATCTATGTAATATAAGTACTCTGCGGGCAAGAAAATTGAAAGAGTCAGTAGAACAAGGGGCTATCCCACATTGACATAATTCTAAGATATTGAGGGTTTTAACAAAACTTACATACACTTTAAGACACAGTACAATCTAATAAACAAAAGACAATGTTTATTTGTTGGTTGGTTGGTTCGTACTTAATGCGCTGCCGTATCGTTCATCCGATTGCGATAAACATTTGTCAGCTTGTTGTTTGCACTTGTGGGAAGACTACAGACAGTACGAAGGGAATGTGCGTGTGCTTGCGGACGAAGACGCACGTTTATAATTTTATGTTACCCAAGCGCTCCTGTTCAGGCTATCTGCGCAACGGCCCTCTACACAACCCGCTGCACTTTGAAGTATTAAGAGTGTCTGCTCCTGCATTGTGAGATGACGCCCGGGAGAGACAGGTTCAGAGAGGGTCATAGAGGCCGACTTATACGCAGAGAGAGGAACAAACAGGAAAACATAGAAAGAGACTGGAAGAGATACGAGGACAGAGACGGAGGCAGAGAGGCACAGGATCAGTGAGAGAGATGGAGGGAGAAAGAGAGAGGGAAGGAGAACTAGAGATTTGGAGGCCAGGACAATGTCTACTGGGTTTCGCTAGTTGAATATAATACTATACAGATTTTAATAACACCTCATTCTAAAAAATAATATTTGTACTTATATTTAATGTCAAAAACTTAATTTCACCAAATATGTGGGATACATCCTTGTTCTACTAAGCCTTTCAATTTTTACTCGCTTGCGTACTACACGTAGATTATTATAATGCTGCAACAAAAAAACGGCTTACTTTTGCGGGCCCCTGATACCTAAAAATTGAATAGTTTATTGTTCCAATAAAGAGAATAACTTCCTCTAACCTTGTGTAATCGAGCACCCATGTGTAAGAGAGAGTTTTTGTTCTACCGAGCCCCTGAATTGTGTAGTACAATTTATGAATTTATGTATGGGTTTATGTACTTTTGAATCTAGAATGGAAAAAATTATATACTAGTTAACATAATCAGAATAATATTTTATTGGTATCTAAGTTTTACATTTCAAACTGTGCATTGACTTATTGCAATGCTATAATCATATATTGCTTATACGGGTTTCTCGCAACACACGTACCTTGTTTATAGAAGATTCGAAAACGATTTCTTTTGCTAATGAACATAATGTGTGAAGCTTCATACAACCTAGTAATACATTTTATATTTACCTCTGGATGTTACGTAAACTCGCATGCACAGTTGCATGATATCTCCTTGGCTGCGTTAGAACATGACCTGCGTAACACCTGTGTATAAGAAGTTGTCTCGGAAGCAAATGTAACATCGTTATATCAAATTACTCTTTTACTAACTTGGCAAAAAGGGAACATTTTCGACCTCTCTAACATTTCACAAAAACTTTGTAACATTCTGTGATCTGTATTAACTTGAAATAGTAAAAACCCAGAGATATTACAAGAAATATTAGATGAAATTCATAAGAGATGCCAGACATCTACATCATACACTACGTCTACTATCATCAAAAAGTATTAATACGCAACTTCCGAAAGATTAAGAGATTGATGTAATCATGGCTAGTTGCTCATGGGAATGCATGTGTCACCGTATCACGATATCTTTTTCTCAGAGGAGTGGAGATGAAAAGGTGGGAAATTATGTGAAAACTGACATAATCCAATTTTCTAAAGCTGGTTTGAATAAAGGCGGCTTCATTTCGGATCTTTACTCACAATTATGCTCTCCATTTGATGGTAACAATTTGGAAGTACAGAGTCGGACCATTCCCAAACCTTCGATACATTAATTGTCATTGATAATTTTCGTTGCAGGGTAATTGATAATGATCTGCCTCTAATCGCTTCTACGTTGAGAAATCTTCTCGTTATTCCCGATTTTCGTTCCTTCTGCAAACATCTGGATCAAATATTCGAGGAATGTTCGGACATCACATCTGGCAATGTGCGGCTCTCAATATAAGTGCACCATTTTTTATATAACGAGAAAGAACATTATTGTAACAGTGGCATTCATTTAGGTTGCGTCTTCCGTCCCGGAATTGGCAAAAGTCAGCCCTAACTTCTGGGGTATGAGCGTGTGCACTGTGGATGGCCAGCGGTATTCGAAAGGAGACTCTACTGAACCTTTTACGCTGCAGTCATGCAGGTAACGATACTAATTACACCTTCCCACAAGTAGACACCTAGAATTTTTTAAATACCGTAAAGGAAGTTAAAATAAGCCTCAGAAATAATAAAATTATTTAACATATATTTCTTTAAAAATGTTTACTCTAACTTTTATATTTGTCAATGGAAATGTAAATCATTGCTTTTATACATGAGGAGTTAAGGAAAAAAACGGTTTTGTACTATTTATAAGGCAACAACGTCACAAAAACCACATAAATGTGTTACTGCCGGCTAGAAAGGAGCATAACCAAAGTAATATTTTTAAAAAATAAAAGGTTACGCCAAAAATAACATATGTCACCTCTCCCAGTACATTTAGTTCTATCCATTGAAAAAGCTTAAAGGAAAAAAATTCGAGCTGTTTTCAAAACAAATGTGGTTGTTAAAATGATTATTTCACGAGAAATTACGCAAAATCCATCCATATTTTAAAAAAATATACTTGGCCTGTTGCCAAGTTCGAATATTCAAATAATGGAGACTTTGCGGTGGGGGGGGGGGGGGCTGGTCAGTGGAAAATGTTCATTGCCCCCATCGAAATACAGCAATACTTTTATTACATTTTATCTATCTAGTATTGGATATATTGATAAGTGATATATTGATAAGATTGATGAATATATTGAAATGCGCTCGTGGCCCAAACCGAAGTCGCTTGCCTTTCACCAGCCTTTTACCAAGGAGGTCCGGGTTCGTTTCCCGGACAATCTCATGTAAAATTGTTGTAACAGAACGAGTTTGCATACTTCACAGGGGTTAGTCCAACTCATGCGAAGCGTCCTAAATCTAACCCTTATCCTAGTTCCCTCCGAACGCAGAAATCAAACGCTCAGCGGCGCTCAGCGGCGCTGGCGATAGCAATCACAACAGGAACAACTTGTCCTGGGTTTGGAGTATCAGCAAAGGAAATTAGAACTTGTATCAGGATTCAAAATCTTTCTTTGACCAAAGTACCCTATACTCGTCTTATCTCGGTACTGTAATGAAACACGCTTAGAACACATGTGGGACCCTAAATGTACTAGAACGTGCCGGGAGAACACGTTGATGAAGCTCAGAGTTTGTATAAGCTATATTTCTTTTGGCACCAAGCACGTTACAAGCCTGCTTTGTTTGGTGCCGGTTTTCGAGAATCTTGGAGGAGCGGGAGCAAGACTCCGAGCTCTGGCTCGGGGAGAGATTCATTTTTCGTTAATTTTTCTTTCAATGACATTTGACACAATTTTCCACTTAAAGCAAATCGCCAAAGTAGCAGATGCTAGTTTATTTGAATAAATTAAACTGAACCAACAAAACAAAATACAGAAATAACAATGTAGTAAAATGCGGTCAATCGTAAGATTCCTATGTTTGGAGAATATTAAGTTCTGTGATCGGTCAGGGCTAAAGGTAACTGGACCGGCGATTGCACGCCTGCTGAGTTCTGAAGGAGGCTGGCTGGTATCCGGGCGTTAGGTAGCGTCCCGTTGCTCCGCACATGGCGGCGATCGAAAGCGCCTGGCCGCCTCGCGTTTCTCAATTGTTGGTTGTAACCGCCGGATCGGATCAAGGGTTAAGCCTAGCGGCAAGGCACCGTTTCACGTGGGGGTTGTAACGCAGATGTCTCGCTCAGAAAGGCCGTCGTACGTCACGGCGCGTTATACTACCACGTACATTATTCATAGCAATATTCACGAACTGGCGTTTGGGAAGTATATGGGTGTCAATAACTAAACCGGATTCACACATTCCTCTCAGAATCGATATCTTCTAACATATATTTTATTGTTGTTATTTAAGGTCGCATCAACCTCTAGGTCATTAGCGACCTCTTTGCATTTACCGGTATGGTAACTGTGAATCTGACATGGTATGATGATGATAGGGGGCGAAAGGACGAACACAAATACAACCATGCTCGAGGCGGGACTCAAACCCGCGATCCTTCTGGGCGAGATCGCTACAGCACTACTGCGTTAACGACCTCGGTCATCCGGATCGGCTGACATGTTTTTAATGAATATACTGGCAATCACACGACCTAGTAATGGCATGAAACTAGTTGTAAACATTTGTTTTGCAAGTAAAGTGTAGATCTTTAATTATTGTGGCTTTCTTTGTGCGTTTTGTTGGTCATTTCACATTTCGCTTCTTTCATAAAATTGGAAAATATTTTACAAGTTAATCAGTATTTTTTTCTTCCAGCAAACCTTTGACATATGGATTGGCTATGCAACAGTTGGGAAGTGAGACAGTTCATACGTTTGTTGGGCAAGAGCCCAGCGGACGTAGATTTAATGCGTTGATTCTTGATGTGGAAGGTCAGTTCCTACATAACAGTAATACACTTTTAGTAATTACAATTGTTAACATTATAAAATGGCTTTCGGTAATTTGAGTATATTATAACTGAATAATATTTGGAATTTGCCCTATTTAATTTATTTTCATTCATTTAACTTCATTATATATTATATAGAATAGGTAGAATTAAACTCCGTGGCGATACCTCCAGAGGCAGTGTAGCAATGGAAATGTGAGAAAGAATGAACTTGTGTAAGAACTTCCCTTGATCAACTTAACGACCCAGATTATTCCCACAATGTAAGATCCTGCTCATTGAGGTGGGTCAGTCCATGTTCCGACGGGGGGATGAGGGAGGGCTCTTTAGTATTCCTTTCTTTCACCCGTCATCTTTATCTTCCCTTCATACTCATTCTTTGATAACATCCTGTCTCTTTTCTTCTTTCCCTTCTATTATTAATGCTCCCCTTTAATGCAGAACGCCCATCCATGTGTTTACCATGCATGGCGACCCGTGTCGGAGGAAAGTGTGTCCTGGCAGTTGAGGGACCTGTTTGTTTCCCAACAACTCTTTGTGCTAGTTCCTGCTTTGTACCTAGGGATAAGTTGCTTACGTATTTTAGAAAACATTAGGTTTCCAACACACTTGCTTTGGGCTCGTACTCTTTTGTCGGGTAGTCGGGAGCTAACCCTCTCCCGATCAATCAGCTCAGCCTAGGTATTGTACTGTACTCCGGGGTGAGCGGGGCAGCGCTGTCTCATCTCCCTGCACTATCTCCGTGGCAACCCTGGCACTCCGATGGAGTGTCCCTGGTTGGGCTCCACGGTGATGAATCTTATATCTATCTCCATGGATACTAAAACTTCTCCTCCGCCCTCTGCCGAACAGCAGAGGAGATATCCGGAACGAACTATCGATTTTTATTTTTTTTTTTGCAAAAGATGTTGCGTTCAATATTTTTTTGTTTCTATTAAGAATAGTTTAAATTTTGGGAATTCAAGAACATCTTCACCTTTTGAGGTAAAGGTTTTGGTGACTTATTGCTTTTGAAAAATACTTATTTTAGTGAGCCTTGTTCTGTGTTGGTTTGCAATAAATATTTGCATATGGAAAGTACTGTTGTTGAAAATAACGTCGAAAATAATGTTGAAAATAAAAACATTAGAAGAAGCTAACAAAGTCATGAAAATATTACTTACCACTGAAAGTAAAGACAGATATGATAGAGAATACATCATGTATAAATATTGGCAAGAAAAAAAAACTAGTCACTTCTGACAGATTTGCTAGTTTTACATGTAAAACATTTGATTAATTTTCGTTAAATATTTTATGTTGTTCGATAAACGTCACCTAGCTTAACGTTTACTTCGCCAATTGTTTTATTCATTCATTGTTTGTATATAGTTGTTGGTACGTAATGTGTGATGTATGTTTTTGTTCATGTTTCATGGCTAATTGGAAATACCTTGGCTACGTATATGCTATATTGTCTTAATTAAACGATTTGGCTCCTTTTCCGAACATTGATTGATAGGTGTGGAGTTTTAATTTCACGATGGAATAAACAATTTTTCAGGGAATTAATGATCATATTTAGTTAACTAAACGGAAAATCATGTTTGAGATATTTCAAACATATTACATTTGTGTAATTTGTTAAAAATTAAAAGAGTACATCTAAATGGACTTTTTGTCATGTTGCACAGTACATTTAGCATTATTCGTAGAAAAAGGGTGACGAAAAGTTTTTTTGCCGTTTATGAGCAAATCTTACTTTATTCAAAATTATCATGAAAACGTTTAATGTTTCCAAAACAATGTTCGTGACATTAAATACAGAACTACTTGTGGAGGCCAATTTCATTTACAGAAAAAATATGTGGCTGCAATATTGTGGTTGGAGAAAGACCCTGAAAAATGTTGAACCATTGCAATTATCGAAAATTCAAAGAATTCCACGAAAATGTGATGTGGGTCATTTTATATGCATTTTTCATTCTATCCGGCAAAAAAATAGGGTGATTTTTTGATAAAATTTTGAAAATATTGAGGTTTCATGTTAAGTACCTCCAAAAGTTAAAATATTCGTTTCCAATTAAAGGAGACACTAAACTTCATTCAGCCAGTTCGATCGACATATATCAATTTTGGTGAAAATCGTACTTACGGTTTAGCTTAGCAGCTAGCGTTGCCTACAGACGGTCGGACAGAGTTACAGACTGACAGAAGGATAGATGGGCGGTCGGACAGACACTCACGTTTTGCTGTAAACCAATTTTTATGTATCAAGGATCCACGAACCATGGATTCTGACTACACAAAGGAAGACATTTATTACATATTGAAACAAGAATCCTGAATCAGGGTCCCACAATACAAGTTTTTCTTTAAACAATCGTCGTTTTTTAATGCTACATTACAATACTTCAATATACTACAGTGCTTGCATTATTTTTCGTTATCCTATTCTCAAAACATCTTGCCAATAGATCATCATCTGCTATATACTCAATTAGTGAAAATATATTGTTTTAAAATTCACTAAGTACCAGAAATTTAACAAATCTCGAGGCTCACGGTTGCGGGGATAAATAATTCTCCTTGGCGCTCGTAAAGAGATTGCTCAAATGTGAAGCCACAGTAACTTTTTAATTATCTCGCGCTGCGCATTAAAAATAATGAAACAACTGTGATTACATGACATGTATGAAAACAATTTTCACGCATTGCTAATGCTCATGGAGGTCAATGAGAGAAATACTGATATTCTAAATACATAGATACGGTGATAAATATGTGCGCACGACCATTTCGCAGTGGAACAAACCAGAAAGTATTTTAGCGATTTATTTACAGCTGCCTCTGACAGTTCATCAGCTGTTATGGTACCATCCAATCGGGAGCTTAACGTTACTACAGCGATGTCAGTATGGTGACATTCAACCTTGCGATTGGATGACACTGTAACAGCTGATTTACGTCAGAGGCAGCTCAAAGTAAATCCAAGTATACTAATGGATTTAATTTTTTCAGTAATGAGCGTCCGGGACTGAAGTTTATGCATTAATCATCGTAATACTTAAATGTCTTCCATTAGTTATCCTCAAAATACTCCGTAAAATGTATTTATCCCAATTCTAATTCGAGTTGTGTGTTTGCATTGGATCCTGTTCAGCAATATACTTTTCTTGCGAATTTCAGATAAGCCTCATAATCCAATGATTAATCCAGGAGGAATGATTGTGTGTGGTCTTCTGAAGTCCTTGGTATATGAAAACCACGCAATTGATGATATATTGACAGAAATAATGACGTTAATAAAGGTAAGAAATTACTTATGATGGTTACTTTATGATGACTTTGTATTACAAACGCATTGTCTTGAGCCCTAGAATTCTCACTCCCACTCCTTTTATCAACATCAGTTGAATTAAAAATAAATGATAGCAACGAGTATTGTTGAATACATCTAAGAACTAAAAATGTTCGTCTCTGTGTAATAGAAACTATTTTCCATCAAAACGTACTACATATTTTATATTATATTATTACGATAATTACCGAACCCACAACTTATCTACCATCTAACTAAATGAGAGGGTCCAGAATACGAGAGCGGATAATAACATCACGTATGTCATGGTCTACTGTTTTTTTCTCGCATTTCCGTCGCAAGATGACAAAGTTATGTAATTGCGCCCCAAAAAATAGAATTTTCGTCAGTAAAACTTTTATTGCCGGGCTCTGGTAACGAAAAAGTAAATAAATAGTGTTCCTAAATGTAGTAAATTACTTCTAACACATATTTAGAATCGATGTTTTGTGGGTCTTTGATAGCGAAATATCGATTGTCGGCAAAACGTCTGTCGGTCCATCTGTCTGTCTGTCTGTCCGTCCGTCCGGCTGTGGTCAACGCTAGCGCCTGAGCCGCTCAGACGATGTTCATCAAAACTGATATTCTCTCATCAACGTAAATGATTGCAAGGCCCAAATTGGAAACATTTTAATTTTTGAGTGTACTTTACGTGAAGCCTTAATAACTTTTTGAAAATGTTCTCAAAAATGACTTCAAAATTTGTGATTATTTATTATTATTATTAGAAAGTTGAGGATCTTTTTTTCTTAAAACAAAATATATGGTTAATTCAACAACTGGCAGCAAAAATCTACAATTTTTGAAAAATGCTATAATTTCGTTTAATTTGGTTTTCCTCGTTCTCTCCTACTATCTGGTTCTATTCTCAATTTCCTTCCATGTTCTCCATATTCTAAGTGCTTCAGTCAGACCGAAACTGAAATCGTGTTTGTTTCGGATTGCATGGAATCTCTTATCACTGTTCCATTATTTGTGACAAACAAAACATAGTGCCACATTGCGAGTAGAAGTAGTATCACATTGCACAGAATTACAAAGTGTAGTAGCACACAAGGGAAAAAGTTCACATTCACCAACTGCGATAGTTAAAAAACATTTTCATATGGAAGCTCACTTTAGTTTTTTTCGAACGTTTTTCATTTTTACCTGACAAAAAACATTTTTTGGTGAAACAAAATTTGTTGCAATACCTTGGATGCCTGTATATCTATTGGCGATGCTACATATTGAAACATTGTTATATACATTGTTATTGCAATAACGAAATTGATTTCAGAATCTTGCGGCAGATGAATATGTTGACTTCAGTAATGAAGTGTATGAATCTGAAAAGGCAACAGAATTCCGAAATTATGCAATAGCTTATTTGATGATGGAGAAAAAATGTTTCCCACCATCCATCACCGTGGACGATGTTCTAACACTATATTATAAAGTAATTTATATAACTTATCACAAATTTTGTATAAATATAATAACATATTCAAAAGTTCAAATATTTACCTCATGATTTCCTAAAATATATTAAGACTACTTTCAATCCTCCGATGTTTCTCTATATAGAGTGGCAGCATTTTAGGAAATTGTGAAACACTATCAGTAATAGCAGCAACATTAGCGAATGGAGGAGTTTGTCCACTGACCAATCAAATGGTACTGAGGCAAGATGTAGTGGAAAACATGCTGTCTTTAATGCAAAGTTGTGGCATGTATGACTATTCAGGGCATTTCGCTTTCCAAGTAAGTAACATGTTATTTATTGTTAATTATTACTAGGTAGTGTTAATATTAACATTAATTAGTAGGGTTAACATTACAGTGAGTTCCCAAACAACTCGTATTTACAATTGCTTCTGTTTTAAAAATTGCTTTTTGTTAATATTTTGTTATTTAGAATAGGGAGGAAACGCATTTAAGTTTCATGTAGCATTATAATATTGCATAGTCGTTAAAAATTATGCGAGAAAGAGTGTGCTGTGGTATCCGTAGTGTTTAATACCCAAATGCTTCTATGACAAGCCACTATTTCCTAACCTGTGTGAAGGTCACCAGGTACAAATAGACATGATTAATTTTTAATTGAATCAATTTTATTGTTGTAGTGTCATTTACGTCATACTATGCGGTATGATTCAGAAAACTCATTACCTAAAATCATTCAGTTATGCTAGTTTAACAAATAATATGATACAAGAACATTTACTTTCCAGATCGGCTTACCTGCAAAGTCTAGTCTTAGTGGAGGAATGATGCTTGTAGTTCCGAGTGTCATGGGAATAGGTCTGTGGTCACCTCCTCTTGACCGACTTGGGAACAGTTGTCGATGTTTATATTTCTGCGAGGTAAGTCAAAATATCATATCAATGCTTGTCATCTAGAACATTATGGAAAGAAAACAGACTACTTCACGGGGAATCCAAATTGAATTGGCGAATAGAAGGAGGGGTATCCGAAAAAAAAGTGTGGAGGTTTGAAAATTAGGCTGATGAAATATTAATGACTTTTCCATATTTTCTTTTTTACTTCCATACAAACGAACGTATGCTTAGAAAAATGTACGTGGTACAAGGAAAATCCTTGTAAAGTGGAAAATTGATGCCGAAATTTTCTCAGACATAGTCCATTTTTGACAATGAAATTTTTCACACACACACACACACACACACACACACACATACACACATACACACACACACACACACACACACATATATATATATATATATATATATATATATATATATATATATATATACACACACCCTTCTCTAATATTCTTAAAAATATTTTTTAAATTCCATAATTACGGGCCAGAAGTTTGAGAAAACTGTCATTTAGTCGCCGATTGGTAGCAATTGGTAGAGGTTGGAGCAATACCGAAAAGCTGGTCCAAATGAGAGTCTAGGAATTTAACTACTTCTAGAATGTCTATTCTGACATTTCTTGTTAAAATAGAGTAAAACTAGCGTACCCATGCGAGAACTCGCGCAGGTTTTTCTCCACTCATTCCCTATCGTTTCCATTAAGAAGGAAAGTTGTTAATGAAACGTGTTTATTGCAGAAAAATGTATAAATATAACTTCGTACTTACAGATTAACAAACAAAAATAAAAACATATAAATTGATGTTGGAAACAAATTTTCAATAAAGGTTTATTCAGATATGTTATATAGAGATTTGTTTCCAGAGCAAACTGGATAGAATCGCAGAAAGAGACGCTTTGTTGGCTCGCTCGTGACTCAGACCACTCCACCCTTCTCGTCCTGCCCCAATCCGCCCGAAAGGATTTCGCATGCCTGGCCTCCATGAGTCTTGAATGGGAAAAACACAGAAACAGGAGAGTTTGTGCAGCTTACCACCGGACGCTCTTCTCCTTACTCGTCTCAACATGCCATCAGTCTTGGCCAGTGGCAGACACACCTGGTTGCAGTATTACCATAACAAGAGCAGGTGTTCTCAGATAAGAGTTGCGCGATAAAATAAAGATGCTGTGTATGTAGAATAGAGAAAGTTAGGTAAAGATTTCCTTAAAAATTGAGAGTTCTTTGCATGAAACCTTAGAGACATTTTGAAATTTTTGTGAAAAATTGGTTTTATTTGTTTAAATTTCCTTTAAGAATAGTGTGAAATATTGTTCTTACAGGAAATTATACGCTCTTGATGGTTCTGGCAAATAGTCGGCCAAATTAATACAAATTTAGCACCGAACCTGGAATTCAATAATTCATAACAATTTTTTGGCACTAGTTATCAGCGAAGAACAATATTTTAAACTTGCCGCGCCCGAGAATTCCCCCCACCCGAAACCGCCGGGTTCATTGCAAAGAGGACGGAAATTCATTTCTATTTATGATACTCTTGAAACGAATTTTTGAACTGCTTTCAAAGAAGACCGGAAGATCGCGCCACGTCCCTTCTTGTTATTAAATTTGTTGCGTCTTCATAGGGGCAATGCGTCTCCAAGCCCCTTGAGTGGCGTTGAGTGCTCCCGCTTTTGAAGTAGGCCTCTATTAATTCTTAACTTGGTCTGCCACGTCTCGTCACAGTCAGTTTTCAAGAGGACCGCCAGGTAGCATCTCCGCGTACCAGTCTGTCTTAAGGGCTCCTGCGTCACTACCCAGCGGCCAGAATTAGGAAGAAATTATAATTGGGATAGGGTTTACTAGCGTACCCGTGCGAGAACTCTCGCAGGTTTTTCTCTACTCATTCCCTATCGTTTCCATTAAGAAGGAAAGTTGTTAATGAAACGTGTTTATTGGATAAAAATGTATAAATATAACTTCGTACTTACATATTAACAAACAAAAATGTAAACAATGAAATTGATGTTGGAAACAAATTTTCAGTAAAGGTTTATTCAGGTATGTTATATAGATATGTTCTTCGAACAATTCACACTTTCTTAAAAACATTTGACACTTTTTAGTACACACATTTAGTAATTATTCAATCTTCCTTGTCAATTAGCTTTTCGCTTTTCTTGATAGTCACAAAAATATTAGAAAGAGGTTTTACCCTTGAGAAAGCCAAGTAAAGATTTCCATGCGCAAATACAGGGTCGGGAAAGCACAACCCGATCCTGTATTCTTGTAATCTTTGTAATATTATTTAACATTTCTGAATTGATGGAATGATGAATTGATGGCAAGATGTCCACTATCACCAGGGGTGAAATATAGGTGGCAATGGTAGTTTTCAAAAAGTACGGAACCAGAGAAAATTCAATAGAATTGCATGCGTGAGTGTTGCAAACGATAGTTCCGATGTAACCGTGATGTGAAAAGTATTATCTCAGCACGTTCCTTTGAAACCTAATTTCGCTAGATGCGAGGGGAGTGGGGAGTCTGATTATTGCCATGGCTATTATATGAAATCTGTAGCTCGTTATTCGATGCAAACTTATTTTCTATTAGATGGGAGCAAACACTTCTGGTTATCTGAGTTCATCAAAAAAACTTGTGGCTATTATTTATTCTGAATTCAACTAATGTTAGTAAAGGAGTAGAGGTAGGTATGCCAGGGCTCAAGAAAACGTGCGAATACAATACCTACGTCTTCACTCGTCAAAGAAAGCATATGGCATACTTTCTTCGCAAATTTACTTTTATGTCTCACAGCAAGCATTGCAAGGTTCTGTACAAAACGCCATGTAAGTTGCACGTGTGTGTTCTCCCTCGAACTGTGAAAGTAGCATAAGACAAGCTTCCTTTCGCAAAATTCATTTCTATGTCTCACAGCGAGTATTGCAATTCACTTCAAAGTTTCACAGCGTACATTACTTGTGCCAAGTGGAATGTATTCTAATGTAAACCAAGACCAAATAACTATACATTGTATACTTGTGTGCTTAAGAATAAACGTTTTGTTCTGCAAATACATGTCTGCGTCTGATGTAGAGCGAGGTAGCCCTGGACTCCACACTCCGTGAACAGTGCCCTCGTGAGCTATTTTAGGGATTAAACTGTTTTCCATAAACCATAAAACCATAGTCCACTCAACATCCTTAAAGAATCAGCAACGTGAACGTGCGCATTAGCAATGCTGTAAATGTGTTTCGCAGCGGCTGCTCGATTTCTACTGCCTGCACCCGTACGCGCACTTGGGCCATGCTATCCCCGCGCGGGAGGACCCGACGCAGCGGCCAGGCCGGCACAAGGAGGAGCACGTCATCCGAATCCTGTGCGCCGCCGCCAGGGACGACGTGGAAGCGCTGGAGTGGTTAGATTGCCTTTAACGTTCGTTTCTCGGTTTGCTTTTTTTATTTAACGTAAAAAAGAACCAAAACTGTCAGTCGTAGTACGGGGAAAGTGCAATTTGGGCGTATTTTCTTGGAATAGTGAGCTCGTGTACAATTATGAATAGGTTATGAAATCAAATACAGTTATATATACAATTATACATAAGATCATACCATTACAATTATATATATATATATATATATAATACAATTATGAAATCAGAGGTTTTAGCAAGTATATATAAGAAAATATTTGCTCTTGTGTAACAAAAACTATTTGAAAAGAAAATAAGTTAAAGATTTTGGCTCGATCCTTCTCATGTTCTAAGTGTAGGAGTCGGCGAATTGACCCAAGAACTCGGAGAACGATTATGAGTTACTATATTCCCCACTCATCTCATGCCTCAAGAGCGAAGTCGCTCTCTTTTTCACCAAGGAGGTTCAGGTTGGATTCCCGGATAATCTCATGTGAAATTCGTTCCAACAAAACGGGTTTTCCTGTTTTACAAGGGCTAGTTCAACTCCTGTGAAGTGTGCTGAACTCCACCCCTATCCTAATTCTTTCCCCTGCCGCTAGGTAGTGACGCCGGAGTGCGTTGTAGGAGGCGCGAACACGGATATGTACCTTGCAGTCCTCTTGACAACTGACTGCGACGAGATGAGACATTTGACATACTGGTAATGGAGGATTACTCCATGGCACTGGCTAATGGAGGATTATTTCAAGCTCAAAGCGCTTAACGCCCCCAATAAGCTTGGAGACGCGTTGCGTCTATCTAGACGCAATACGTTTTTTAAAAAACATCGTGACAACATACAATGTACGTATAGTGAAGCTTATTTTAAGCTCAGAAACAAAACATTCGGCCTCTTCGCATTTGTTCAATGGATCAGGGAAAGTGGATGAAAACCCGTATCGATATGACGAGTATCGGCTTAGAAGCTGAGGTGCAATACTAGATACAGACATATTATATTTTTTTAATTTTACAGTACAAAAGATAACTAAAATATTAATTATTATTAAAATAAAAAAATATTTGGATTTTCGATATTCAGTATAGAGACAGATATGCATAAAAAGGTTGTGCATAGCACATTAACTTATGTATCGATTTTAATCGTTTAATGTCATCTGGCTACGTATTGTTAAATCATTTACTAGTATTGTATCTTAATTTTGTGTTGTGATCTGTTGATACTGACTCATGATGAATATGATTACTATGTAAAGTGTAATAGTTATAGACCTCTGTATAGAAATCGACCGTTACTGATCGGTGCAGTCAGTGACCTTTAGAGTGCGAGCGAAACTCACAGAAGGAAGTCACTGCGCATGCGCAGTTAATCCATTACTACCATTGCTAATCAGAAAACATTGGGTAGTCCTAAGCATGATAGGAATTGTAATCGTCCAGAATCTGACTTTGCCTCTTTTGTAATTTGTTTCATTGATTCTCTTGTGTTCTTTCTTACCCGAATTATAAATGTTTTTTGCCAAAGGTGTCATTCGAAAAGTTAGGAAGTCAATGTTTTTGAGACGGCATTTATTGCAACGGTCTCCCTTTTCTGTGACGTATGCAGTTTTTTACTTTTCTTTGGCAAAAATGAATCAAAACAAATCAGATCAAATCTGTGCACTCGGCTGACTTCACAGAGGAGAGCGTCGGCTACTACGGCTGAATGCACCTCAAGAACATCGAGTTCCTAGCCTTTCCACGGGCAGCCTCGACACAAAAGAATTAATTTACAATTCGCATATGAAAGAATACAAGAATACTACCGAAACAAATTACTAACGCAAATGCAACAAATTCTCGGGGGATTAGAATCACGAGCTCGCAATAGACCACCTGATGTTTTCGCAACACAGACAGTAGGTTTAGATGCTCTGCTGCCTTTGCGCAGTGCCTCCCTTCTCGCTAGTCTCTCTGGCGTTTTACAGGGCGTCTAGGGCACATATTTCAGGCATGACCGACAGCCAAAACTTGCGCCCAAGATCGTTTACGTCCTTGAAGTCTGCACTATCGGACAGCAGCGTTACTTCCTTTGAGAATGAAGGTGTTCAACGAATTATTTTCGGCCAAAAAATTCCAATTTCATTCTCCACGCTTCAAATTCCCGTACTTTGTCAATTCTATTAATTAGAATGAACAAGATGTGTGAAGCGAACGCTAGCTAGATGCTTCAATTTCTTGCAGGCCGCTTCAGCGCAACAATTCAAACATTACATTGTGTGATTGAACGTACGTCGGTACCATTTAATTCTCATACCTTTTGGTTAACGTCAGTTGGTCAACATTGAACATATATATATAAGGAAATAAGTAAAAATAACTATTATATAGTTAACAACATGGCTTGTTATAAATAGGGCTTGATTTATGGCGAAAAAAGAAACAAATACAATAACAAACACCAGAGGATAAATACTTGACAACAGAGCCTGTGCTACTACTTTTACTAATTGTCATTTAGTTTGATTTATAATTATTAAATTATATTAAAAATATATAATTATTTCTAAAACATTAATATTTCATTTTGGGCGTATCCAGAGACCTAAAATTTTATAAATCAAGCACTGGTTATTCCCAAATAAATTATACGATTACATTAATTTAACTTATTCAAAAATTACCAAAGTATTATTATCCAAGATTATTGCGAAGTCATATTAATTACATCTGGAAAACTAATATTAAAGGTAGATTTTGTGCAAAAAAATAAAAAAAATGTTCTATTGCATTCAATTGGAGAGTTCAAATCCCACAAGAAAAAATAATTTTAAAGATTTTTTGCGGGTACATGTCGAGAGCTTCTGCCCGCGTTATTTCTATGTTCAGGCAACTGATGCGAGCAGCGAAATGGGCTTTCGAGAATGTTTTCAATGTTTCAGCTACTTTTTGCGTAACATGGATATGAACGTGAGGGATTACGACGGGCGCTCGGCGCTACACGTGGCAGCGTCCGAGGGTCACTTGGAGAGCGTCCGCTTCCTCATCGAAGTCTGTCGCGTGGACGTAAACCCTCGAGACAAGTGTGTATGAATTATCCCTCCTTCCCACTTAAACATCGCAAGACAGCGCGAAGAGTTTTTTTCCTACCCTCAGAACATTATATCCAATTACCAGTCTTTGGTTTTTAATTTGAAGAACAAAACGTATTGCCAGTGTTGAAAATATAAAAGTAATACAAAATTATTAGAAACTTGCGGAAGTAATAAGACGTTGCTCGATTAATTCATCACAATCATTTGAGAGGACAAGGGAAAAATTATGTCTCTCACCCACCCTTCTCCGTCCATCGCATGCAAACTGCGCCATCCATCACTGCTCGCCCATCTCCCCCGCTCCCACTGCCCCCCCCTTCCCACCCCTCCAACCCCACCCCCTACGACCCATGCGACGGCATCCCACACACCGCTGCTCCAGGATCCTAAATATGAAAGTGACAGTAGTGGTGCCTTAAATTATCTATTGAAAAAATAATAATAAAATAGTAATAATAATTAATAATAATATATGGAGAATTTCAGGACAATATTTAAAAAAAATAGAAGCCCTATGTTTGGTCTCGAAAGTTCAAAATGATTCCTACACATTTCTGTTGTAATTACTCCACGCGTTTCAGAAATGTGCTGAAACAAACATATACCGAATCAAGCATACAGTTGTTTTTATAGATATAACTTTTTGAAATGCCTACATTTTACGTTATTAGTACTTAGGAATTAAAAATTAAAATTAACTGGAATTTATACAAAACATAATTTATTTTAGAAAACCAGATTGGAACATATGTTTATTTTTGAAAGAAATAAGTTAGTAAAGAGAAACCAATGAGTATTGCTTTTTTTAACAAACATAGACGTTTCTTGTCATCTTCCCTACGGTATTGACTGTTGCTTGGTTTAGCTAGATTGCAAACGACATTCATGTAATTTAATATTTTTCAATTATTAATAAAACCTTTCCCGATTTATCATGGTAAGTATTCACATTGTGATAATACTCTGTTGTTTGAAGTCATCCCTCTATTATCCCTAAGAATTGTTAATGCTTAAATTTTAATTTGTCTTCCTAATTTTTACTTTAAAACTCTAAAACTTCAATACATTTTTCAGGCGTGGGCGCACTCCGCGCAAAGATGCAGAAGACTTCGGAAACGTCAGAGTTGTAAATATGTTGAAGTGCGTGGGTGCTCGCCTGTAGTCTCTCTTTTGACCTTGTCAATTTCTACTCGAGGGTCGTATTGAAAGTTTTTTACAATCATTCTTTCGATGCATTTTTCTTGTAATAAATGATTGCTATTGCAAGATTACTTCTCTCGATCATTCTTCTTTCATAGTAATATTACTGGGGGGACATACTCATGAATACCCTGAGGGGTGAGTTGGAATATATAGTTGTGAGTTCGCAACTGAAGCTTGTAATCAGAGAGGTCCCTCATTCGAATTCCGAAGATGGCATATTTTTCGATACCAGTTATGAAAGTATCTGAGTTCGATGATAACACACCGTTGATGAGAATTCTAAAGTCTGGCTTCTCTGATAAACATTTTCCATTATTTCCTCGGATCACGTCGAGGTAGACGCCGGAAGGTGGTGGAGCCACGTGGTTACAGGGGGAAAAACGTCAGTTGGAGTAATCCTCCGTTATTAAGCACTCAGCACCCTCTACGGGTCGCTGGGTAGTCAAGTCACGTCAGTCGCAGTCAAGTTGAGAATCGACGATAGGTAGCGTCTTCGCGCATGCACGCCCTGCATCATTACCCATCGGCCAGAATTGTGAAGGAATAAGGAAAGGGGAAAGGTTTTAGGACGTTTCACAGGGGTTGGCCTAGCCTCTGTGAAGCAGCCAAACTCGTTTTGTCGTAATACATTTCACATGACGTTCTGCGGGAATTGAACCCAGAGCCTCAGTGGTGAAAAGCAAACGACTTCACCACTGGGCGACGAGAGCATTTATTACAATACTGATTAATATTCCTGTATCAAACATTACTTTCATTTCACAAACCTGAGTTCGAAATGTAACACTTAACCTTATAATATTATTTTATGTGTCTGTCTGTACAGAGCCGCGATTCCTGGAAGTTCTGCTGTTTGATAATGTTTGATAATAAGATGGCAACTTCTACAAATCATCAGCCTTTTTACTTTGATAATAAGTCAGAAATGTAGCCTACGAGCTAATTTTAGTGATGAGTTTTTTCGTGAGCTTGAGGTTTGCATAGATTTTAAAGAGAATTTGCTTAGGTTCGACCCGCCGTATTTACTGCCGTTCACCGTACGCTAATGAATTGATCACTGATGAGTTCAGGATCAACAATTTAACTTAGGGCGAGATACATGAATATCACCCAATTTATTGATCGCAACCACTGTCTGACAGTAGCCGACAATGGTGCATTGCGGGACGTGTTGCCCAGTAATTTTGAAATTTTTCAGCGGCCAACAGAACCCATTATCTCTTTCGCATTCAGCTAACCGACCCCTCACCATGTAAATGTGGAAACTATCCTGTTCCATTTGCTTTGAGAGCAGAAGTAAGTAAGACGATTTCAGACGTGATCGCAGAAGCAATTATTAAGAGGGCTTCTACGTCATTTGTTAATCCCCTGGTAATAATGAGAAAGAAAGATGGAGGTGTTCGCATATGTGTCGATGCTAGAAGGCTCAATCAGATCACGATCAGTCGTGCCAATCGACGTCACTTTAGGGAAATTTCATATAGTTAAGTATTTTTCGCTATCGAATTGAATATAAAGTTCGCTTATTTGAAGGGAGCTCAAATATATCTAGTTCACTTAGGACTACCTTTTTCTACACTGTAGTTTAGGTTGTTTCTACTTCAAGTACGTTGGTTGAAGGAAGCTTGTGTGTATCAAGAAGTTTGGACGTGCACGTCGTGATGAAGAAACACAGCTGGTGGATTGGGTTTAAGGTTTTTCAAGAAACATTTTTCAAACAATGAGTGTCTTCAACAAAAAGAAGCGTTAAAGAAATATTAGAGTATAGTTCTTAAAAATTTAAAAAATATTGAAAAACGGGCAATGAAGACAAAAGATAAACTGCTAAGCATTTACTTATTGTTAGAATATTTAATCGAATTTAGTTTAGTTTATCATTATTGTCTATATTGATATTTTGAACAATAATAAGAACGCAAGTTCATTATTTCTCTAAATCAAGTATTTATTATCTGATTAGATTATCTCTAAAAATATTCTGATATAATATGTGATATAATCTTGATAAATAAATGTAAGAAAATATAAGAAAGAGAGAACATGAGCCTGGATAGAATGGGAGATCAGAATTTCTACTTCAACAGATTTGCTCACTTGACGGCAGCTCTGGGACGTACACAGGGGCGTACTTCTCGTGCGTTCGCTGTAGACGAAAGAAAAAGCTAGACTGTTCATGCACTCTGCGTCGAAACAGATGTAGTTCCATAAGAGACAGAAAAGAATGATAAAATAAAAGAAAATAGCCTCATCATATGAGCTTTTTTACACGTTGATCCTTTTGTTCGTTTCCGTGAATCGTAATTAAATGAATTTAATGAAACTTGAAATAGTTTTCAAATAAGCAGTGTTTAATCTACTATTTCGAGAAGAAGTTCAGTATATTTATGTAAGGCTGTGTATATATAATAAATCACATTTTACTTTTCTTTTGAACATTATTGTTTTATTATATGGGGGGAAGTGCATATCTCATTTTCCCTGAGGCGCAAAATTAACTGGCGTCGGCCCTGCGCTTCAGATGTTCCTAACATTTTTCGTTTATTAGTTAACTAAATACACTCATTAATTCCATGAAAATCAATGATTATTACTGTGTTAATGGCATGCGAGCAGTTAAAACCACATCCAACCAGAATTCAGAAAAAAATATCAAAATAGTTTAATTACATCACAATAACAGAGACGTGGCCAAAGTATTTCCAGTCGGCCATATAACATGAACAAAAATCACAGATTACGAACCTCCATGAACTACATACAAAAATGAATGAACAAAACAAGATTGGTCAAGTAAATGTTGGTTTTCACACTAGCTGACTAATGATACAACATAAAATATTTAACATGAGTAAATCAAATGTTGTACATGTAAAACATTTATACATTACCTATGTAAATAATTATAAACTTCACTAGTGTTTACCTGTCCTAAAAAGTACCGCAGCAAAACTGAGTCAGAAGTGACTTTTTTAAAATATTTATGCATGGTCTCTCTTACCCATTTTAACTTTTTGTGAGAAGTAATATTTTCACGGCTTTGTCAGTTTCCAGTATCCGGAATGTAGTTTCATCCGGAATGTAGTCAATATCTTCCATTTGCAACATTTCTTGCACAATGCAAGGCCCACTAAAATAGGTCTTTTTCAAAAACAATACGACGTCACATATTCTAGGTACCTTGACAACGCCATCAAATGTTTATCTCGAATGGGAATTTCTTAAAATTTAAATTATTTTTAAATGAAACGAAAAAATATTGAACGTAACACGAGGATAAATCGGAATAATTGCACTCATGATAGAAATGAAAAGTCGTTCCTAACATCGGGCGTTTTCTTGAACATATCACTCATGCAATTATACCCATCTTTATCCTGTTTCGTTAATTGCCATAATGTAAATATCGTTAAGTGATTTGTATATCTGAATAAAAATAAAATAAAAGAGCCGGTCCGGATGGTGGAGATTGCTAAGGCAGTAGGCACTACTGTTAAGCGATCTCGGACCGAAGGATTGCGGGTTCGAGTCCCGCCTGGGACATGGTTGTACTGAGTTCGTCCTTCCCCCTTCATCATCATATCGTGTCATCCTCACAGTTACCATGCCATTACAAGCAATAGTGGTCGCTAATGACCTAGTAGTTGAAGCGACCTCAAACAAAACAAAAAATAAATAAATAAATAAATAAATAAATAAATAAATAAATAAATAAATAAATAAATAAATAAAAAAAATAAAAGAGAGACGGTCTCAAAAATAGTGGGTCTGTCAGCCTCGTGTCGCATCCTTTCGTACTTGCAAAATAAAATTATCACATTCCCTACTCTTTCCATAAATAATTACTATGTACTGTTGGAATTTTTTTAAAAACATTTTTGGTTCAATAAATCACCTTGGCACTCCATAACAATTGAATATGATGAATGAATAAAATACATTATTTTTTTAAAATTCGTTTTATATATATTTGTGGCAAGAAGTAGATATATACGAATTATTAGGAATAAAATACGGAGAACTAGTGATTAGTAAGTAATTAGTTAAGACTTTAAAATCAAAATAATTCATTAAAGATAGGATTTTATTTTATAAGTGAATGAAATAGATAATTAGGTGCATTGGTTACATTCGTATATACTCTTTGCTTAGTTGTACACTCCCACTAACGCTCGTGAATAATTAACTCACTCGCACATGATGGTCTTTCAGCCACGTGTAATAGACAATATTTCAGGAGCAGATCTAGAGACAAATTTTGGGAGGGGAAATTCAAAATATTTTGGTGGACTGTGTCATATTACATATTATGTAAAACGTTGCAGGCAACATTCAGCTCATGCTGCGATACGATTTTATTTGTTCCAAAGATTATCCGGAAATTTGTTTGCTTAAAAGTTTCCAAGTTAAAATTAATAGTTACTGATAATTTTTAGAAATTCCCTCATTTCCCTCCTCGTGGATACACGCCTAAATTTAATCTTATCGATCGCCTTTGCAACATTTTCAGCTTATTCTCAAGAATGCGTCATGATAAATGGTATTATATTGATTTTGGTGGTACATTGGAGATCATGGAGGTAAATTTGAGTTGACAATCGTTTACGCTAGAAAGTAGAAGCTACTCCTGAAAGTTTTAAAAGTGAAATTGTGGAAGATTTATTACTCAGTAAGTCTAAAATTAGTATGTGTTGTAAAGAATACAAATTTCCAAAGAGTGGAGGAGAGAAAGAAATATTAAGAACGTAAGTGAGGAAGAAGCAGTGAAAGTAAGTACGAATACTTAATGCAGGTTCGTATTGTAGGAATGTAAACGAAAGTATGTATTATAACTTTGTTATTTGATTAAATTATTTGTAAATATGTTACTTTACTTTATAAATTATTAAGTATAAGTGTTTTTCAATGTATATGCTTTTATTTTGCAATAAAATATTTCGTGTGCATCGTATTGTTCAATTCGCCGATCATAGTTTTCCTGTTTTTATCGTGGCAATTGATAGCTACTTTATTACAGGGCTGTAATAAAGAGCCATATCATCGAATCTGGACACGTAAGTAAGTAGCCTGCAAAGACAATCGGGGAATATAATTTTTTTTTGAAGAAATGAAAGGTAAAAACTGAAAATAAGCAAACCAACAAACAAACGAGATTTGGTTTAATTTATCGTTAATGCAGTAAAAACTGAACATGGCACAGAAAAGTTTAACCTGCTCACGTTTTGTCAAAAACAAAAAATATTACAAACAATAACTAATTTTATTTGTTTTGTTGCTTTGAGTATGGTCCAGAGAGTATAATAATAATAATAATAATAATAATAATAATAATAATAATAATAATAATAATAATATTTATATTTATATTTATATTTATTGAGTCACATATACAATTACAATCATGTATGATGAGTCAATATGATGTCTTGGGTGGATAGAGCGAAGTTACATTACAGTTCAGGGACAAAACAAGGGGTCATCTCAGCATTTGCTCAAGGGACCAGGGAAACTGAACAAAACCTGATCGAGATGCGGTCATTGGTCTAGGGATAATACTACAATACTTGCTACTGATAGATTAGGATATTATTCAGTAGATACTTATTTTTGGTAGCAGATAATTTAATATTTCAAGATGTTATTGTCATTTTAATGCAACTACTTATAATATTATTTTTTTATAATATTAAATTTAATTTAAAATATTATAATATTTTATAATATTTTTTTATAATATTATAATTTATAATTTTTATATTATTATTATTATTATTATTATTATTATTATTATTATTATTACTATTATTATTAAAACAATACCTATCAATTCTGTTAGCAACTTCATAAGATTTAACAATATTAGTACATTCTATATTTAAAACTTGAAATGGTGAGGAGGAGGCCAGTTTTAACCAGTATTTTTTGTTTGTTTTTTTCCTTCTTTGAATTTGTACACGTAGTCCTGTTGCAGCACCTAATGTGTCTAGTGAATCCAGAAATCCATTTTCTTTTTGTTTTTGTCAGGCATTCTTCTATGTCACAGGCGATATGCCAGTTCTGTTTTCTTTGCTTCAGCTCGAAACATTTAACACAAAACAGAAAGTCTAATGGAATAAGAAATTCTTATTTATTTATATTTTTTAAGGGAAATATTGTTGTGATTTGAATATTCCTTTACACTGTAGAACATGTTGTTAAACAAGAAAGCTTTCAATTTACTTTTAAATGTATGAATTGTGTTTATGTCTTTAATATCATTGCCTAGTTTGTTGTAAAGTGTAACACCCTCTATTAAGGTACTTTTTTGATGAAGTGTAGTTTCAGAGTGGGGAACATGTAGGTTATCCTTTCGACGAGTATTGTAGTTATATACATTGGAATTTAAAGTTAAAGTGTTTTTGTTTTCCAAAAGACTTTTCTTTGTGAAGACCACTATTTCAAATATTTTAATATTATAATATTTATAAGTTTATAATGCTATGGCATGCAAGAATCTAGCTACTTCAGGACAGCAATTAGCTCTGTTAATACCTTAGTTTATAAGTGATTTTATTTTAGATAGTGTCACTGAAGACTTTATTATGTCAGTAGTCGTAATTATGATTTTAAGTAGCTACAATATTGTGTTTCCATTTGTTTTGAAAATTAGGAAGAAAGCGATTGTCAAAGGAGTTAGAACAGGACAATGAATTAATTGCTGGATGTTTCATCGGAAACGACCTGTGTAATCTGGATGTAATGTGAGAAACCATGCCTCACAAGTATTGTTTTCTACTCACACTTGAGATTCGCGGGCACACGGCAAAGAAATCACGCGTCGCAATCTTGTCGTAAGATTCGTGTGCGCAGTCGGTCGTGACGTTCATTGGAGCTTGCTGGCAGGTGACAGATGTGACAGGTACACGCTACAGTGCGAAAGTAGGTAAACAATCGAGTTAAATAATTATGCCCTTTAGCATTTCTGCGCATATAAAAATTAATGGGTAACTCGAATCAGAAAACGGTTCTCAATGGGCGAATCAACCAGAAATCTTCTCACAGGAGCCCCCAGACATACTCAAGTCAGGTGAGAATAGAGGTTATGTCCACAGCTGTTTGAAAGGAAATTTGAATTTACCCCAGAGGAATTAAATGCATACTACGTATTTAATTAAGGATTACGATATGTCTATCCAAATGATTATTGCTCATGGGTTTGGTGTAATTTTTAAACGTGAAATAACGTTTACATAATTTATTTACTGGTTTGATATGTGCTAATTATTTGAAAGTGTGTCGTGCGTACTGCTTTGCTTATTTTGTAGAGGACGAACAGTAAATAAAAAATCGTTTGAAGATTAATAAAATTAAACCCAAATGTCTTCGTATAAATTATATTTTACAGCATTTGTGTAATAATTTATATCCAACTAATAATAAGGTATTTTTTATATTATCCAAAATGTGTTTTTGATTGTGAAAAGAAAATTTTACAAATTAATTTTTTCCCCTTAGTTTAGCCTTTCAAATTTTCTACCCAACATAAGTGGACGTTCTTATGCAAGTGGTGTCAGTCAGCATTCAACATATAGTGTTTCCCGACCCTGGTCACGAGTTTCCAGGAGAAGGTAATTATCCAACATTCTAGAAATGAAAGGACGATGTTCATTAAATGTTATTGTGTTGTTCAAGGAACCTAAAATGTAGGTATTGCTTCCAAATAAATTAATTTTTAATAGGTGGCATGAAAGAACACTCAATGACCCTTTGGTTGCTGCAAAAACTGCTTGGCCAGTCCCTTACATAGAAGCAATATTTTTACCAGAGTTCAAAATAAAAGGAGATGTTTCAGAAGAAGATTTTGAGGTGGGTCATAGATGATTTCATTATGAAGAAATTTTAATGATGTTGAGTTCAGTGTCATTAAATATTTGAGAAAGAAAGCAAGGAATTATTTATGAATATTCACTAATGTATATGTCTGTAATAAATTAAATAAAATAATATTAGTTGACTTAAAATTTCCAAAGTGTGTATTTTGAAGAGATTTTTACTTGAATGTAATACATTAGATTAAAATGTACATGATAAGATAATTTTGAATGATGTCTATGTAATGTGTCAGTTGAAAATTTAAGTGTATATAATTTTGACTTATAGTTTCTTTTTAATCTTTTAGTATGTAGATCTAATTTCAAAAGGTGCCTTTGGAACTGTATATAAAGTTCAAAAAGTGGACACAGGAGAAGAATATGCATTGAAAGTTCTTTCCAAATCGCTGGTAAGTATCACATACCGTAAGTGAGCAATAATGATCTTATTGCGTGTTTTTATTTTTTGTTAATGTTTTTTCTAGCTTATTTCACAAAATGCTGTGGAACAAGTAAAGGATGAAGTTCGAATTCAGTCAATGTGTGGACATCATCCATTCATTGTAAATAGTCCATTTTTCTGGCAAAATAAGAAAAAATTATTTATTGGTATGTTGAACTTTAAATAACATAATAGAAGTTTGCTGTAATTATTTTTGTTAGTATCTTCTAACTGCAAAAAGTGTTTCTGTTTAATTTTTAATCATTGTTTGCATAATTTTGTCGAATACTTTACGAGAGCTCATAGTTTTTCAGTGTGGAAGTTCAATTGACTTTGCCTGTGAACAAAAAATCAGTTTTGCATATTCAGTAGTTTGCAATTGTTGCTATACTCTGTGAATTTTTAAACGAGCTTTTTATTTTCCAGTGAGTGAATTTATACCAGGTGGGGAGCTACTACAGTTATGTCAGTTATATGGTCAATTACCTGAAAATCTGGTTCGAGTATATGTTGCTGAAATTGCTTTAGCCTTAGGTAATTATTCTCATCCTTTTTGGTGGAGTAATACTAATATAGAATTACACAAATTGAGTAATTGTGAAACATTTTAAGTCTTCTTTTTTAAGTACATTGAGAGCAGTATATTTATACTGATTTTCTTCAGGCTTTGAATAAAACTTGTGTTTGTGATATTCTTTTAAAATTTGATTTGTGGGTAGTATGTTACTCCAATCTGAAGCTACCACTATAATGGCCATCTTAGCCTTAATCCAGCCTATATTAATTTTTACGTTGTCAAATGCATTCCAAATGATTTAGTTGTGCATTTTCATGTGAGACATATTAATGGCCCAACAATATATTTTTCTAGATTTTCTGCATAATGCTGGAGTGATCTACAGAGATTTAAAACTTGAAAACATATTGTTAGATCAAGATTATCATCTTCAGTTAATAGATTTTGGATTAGCAAAGTGGCTCAAGTATGGTGCACGAACTTCCACCATATGCGGAACAATTCAGTATATGGGTGAGTAACTGAATATGAGACCTTTGTAATACAGTAAACCCTTGTTAGCACAAACTCATGTTACATGAATTTCATTGCAACACGAACAAAATATTGGTCCCGGCAAGGGATTACAGTAATAGAGATATTTATAATAATTGGATAACATGAATTTTAATAACACAAACTCTGATTATTTTGGTCCCTTGGTATTCGCATTAATGAGGGTTTACAGTCTTTAAAAAAATCTTTGTAATGTTATTACATTTGAATAATTAGAAGAAAATGTCAAAATGTTATATCTATTTATCTCAGACCTATTTGCAGTGCTTTCTATACACTGTTATCTCAAGTTCACCCAGAAGAGTACTTTGAAGTTATCACAAAGATTGTATGTTTTGTTTAAAACTAAGACTTATAAAATGGTGTTTTTACCCAGGACCAGGGATTTCCAACCTTTTTCTTTAATCAACCCTTAAAAGAATTGCTGGCGGTATTGACACCCTGACATTTTTCTCTATAATATGCAGTGTACATAAACATAAAACAAAGAATAGAACATAAATGTCTTAAGGTAACAATTTTGTGCACCACTTTGTTTGTAAGTATATCTGTTTCCAGTAATTGAAGATGCTTCCACTTCTGAGAAGCTGAGTTTATAATCTTCACTCAATTGTTACAAAATGTTCAGAGTTTTATAAGAACTGGACGTAACATTTCTCCAAGATAAGTTGCACAGAACATTTTTCTGTGTGATAGAATATCATTGTGAAAACATACAATTATAATTTTTTTGAATTTTCTAAACATCCTAAGCAATGAGCTAGCTAGGCTCTTGGGAACACTGGTAGAGAAAATAGAAACAGGGATGCTGTCTTTAAACTGAATTTACTGTCAATTGGATATTATTTTATTGAAAAGTTTTGTAAATATTAGAGCATTCCATTCCTTACAAGTTTTTGAGAAAATTTAGAAGTGAAATTCATGTTTGCCAGTGTTGTATTGTTTAAAGAAAACTAATAGATTTTCCATTAGAATAATATGGATATTAATTATTGAGGCTCCACCATATTGTTTAAATAATTTTTATTTTAAGTTTTGAAATTTTAATAAGACTAGTAAAAATGCTTATTTTTCAATAAACAGTAAAAGTAGATGTTCTTTCCAAATTTTGCTAATGATATGCATAAAAGTTGTTAAAGGCTGTAGAGAATTTTCATGTTTAGGTCTGGTCTGTTGGAGCAAAGTACGTGTATCAACTAATGGTCTTCATTGCTATATGTTAAGTGCTAATAAAACTACAATATATTAGACAAGAAGTATAGTTGATTGGCATGAAAAGATGAGGAAGAGCATGTGGATAAGAGTATATATTGTTCAGAACATTCTTTTTGAGTGCTAATGATTTCCTTTTAATCTTTCATAATTTTTGAAATTACAATAATGGAACCGTATTTTTCTCATTCAAAGCATTTGAAATAATTTTCTCTAAAAATTCATTATCAAACTATACTTGTAATTATTGTACACAGAATGTGAAAGCAAATTCTAATTTTCTCTTGAAAGATTATGGTGAATTTTTTTTGCAATCATGTTATTGGAAAGCATAGGTATTTGAATGGACATTTTGTCTTTATTTAAGAAGAAAATTTTCTGAAAGTCATTCCTTTTGGTGTTGTGAATTTAAGAGAAATTATTCACAGTGTTTCAGACAGCTTATATTTGAAATAACATTGAGGAAATTAACATATTTTCTTTCAACTCTTGAGAAGTTAGGTCAGTGCTATAAAATTCTAAAGTGAGTGAGGCAATGTAGCTGATACTAGTTAAAGACATTTTTAGTTAACGTTAGATAATAGTTAAAGTTTGTTATTGTTGTAATTGAATTTACAGTAGTTGCAAGATTATGAATTAGATGTTAAAGGTGTTGTCTGAATGTGAGTTCATTTAAATATATATTTGATTCCAAAAAGAATGTTAATTATACATTTTATAGCATTTCATTACATAAATGAATTAGAAAAAAATGGACTCCTCATTCAGTTATTAACAGTTGTTAACACATTTGTATATTTAAATATTTTTTCATTTAGTTAATTAAATATGCTCATTAATTCCATGAAAAATCATTGATTATCTCCTATGTTAATATCATGCATACAATTAAAATTCAACTGTGCAATTAAAACTACACACCTGCCAATCAGAATTCAGAAAAGAAGCCTAATTGTTAATTAAGAAAGTAAAACACAGACATAGCCAAGGTATTTACAGTTGGCCATGAAACATGAACATAAATGTACATCACAGACAACCTACAACCTACATACTTACAACAACCAGACGAAAACAAATTGGAGAAGTAAATGTTAAGCTAGCTGACTAATTGAATAAAAAATAAAATATTTAACATGAATAAATTAAATGTTTTACATGTAAAACATGTTGTGTTTACCAGTTCTAAAAAGTACACTGTAGCAAGACTGTAACAGAAGTGTCTATTCTTTTCTACTTACCAATATTTATACATGTATTCTCTCTCATACCTACCTTTACTTTTCGTGGGAAGAAATGTTATCATGTCTTTGTCAGCTTCTTCTTATATTTTATCTGCAATATGTACAGTACCTTCCATTTGTAAGTTTTTTTTGGAAACAAAAACAATACATGACCACTATAATAGATCCTTTTCAAAACCAATCCTGTGTCATGAAAAGTATGACTGGAATGGTAAAGATGTGTTTGAATTTCTTAAAATCTAAATTATTCTTAAATGGAAACGAAAAATATTGAATGTAACACATGTATAAAGATGTATAGTCCTATCTTTGCTTGTTTTCTTGAACTCATGCCATCATCCCCCTCTTTATACACTCATTTCATTAATTTCTATAATGAACATTTATGGTAAGTATTTATTTGTGATTAGAAAGTATTCTATTTTTCTTTTGTATTCAAATTTGACATATTTTCTTTCCAGCTCCTGAGGTGATGAGTATGGAACCATATGGACATGCAGTTGATTGGTGGTCACTTGGAATCGTCATGTGCTGCATGCTGTCTGGCGAGGTAAGTCTATGTTTTAATGACCAAATTGGCAAATATAATAGAGGCAGCTGGTTCATTTGGGCTTGCTCAAAAGAATGCTCATCTCAATCAGGTTTTCGTCCAGTTTCTCTGATCTTTGACCAAAGCTGAGATAGTCCCTTGTGTTGCTTCTGGACATAAATGTAGCTTCACATTAGCACCATAGCATGTCGCACACAGTTTTTAACTGTTTTTGATGTAAATAAATAAATAAATGCTCAATGAACTAGCTGCCTCAGTTGTGACAAGTTATGGTCATAAATATATTCTATGTTTTAATTTAATTTGTATAGAGGTTTTTTTAATCATTGGATATTCTACTATTTTATGATTGTTCTTCTTGTTTGTTTTTTTTAAACGAGCCATTTACTTACTTTTAACTTCTTTACATTTTACGTATGAAACTTGTAATATACAATTCTGAATTTTTGTCTTTGGGGCCCTAAGCATGAATAAACTATAAGGTTTGTTAATAATATTAAAATATTGATTTGAAGAAATCAATATGAATGTGAAAATGAAGAAAACTCTTTGCAATTATTAAAATTATTATTATTATAATGTTTTTTAAATTTATGTACTATTATAAATTATTATTTAACAAATTATTTGTGGCCTCTAGCATGTGCTTAAACTGCTTATATTTTAATGTACTTTCAACTGTATATAAATAGAGAATGTGCTGTGTTGATAGTTCATCATTGACATCCTGATTACTGTGTCAAAGTTGGAAGTGAGAGAGGAACTTTGGTTACATGTTTTGTACCCATCTTTTAATTTGTTACTTCCACCAAATTCATTCGGGAAAAAGACATTATATAGTGAATATTGTGTGTATCATTCAATATTTTGCTGTCACACTTCACAGAGATAAGGATAATCACATAAACATCTTTTTGACCTTGGAGCCTTCTGTGCATCACATCTTTTGCACCAGCCTAGCTTTGCCCCGTCTTCTATATTTTATGAAAATCAGGAAAACAAAGAAGGATTGTTTTCAACATTTTTTAGAAATATTTTGAATATTATTTTAGTATTACTTGGCTTATTTAAAAATTATGACTATATACCACAAGATAAAAAAGAGAGAGAAAGGGTGAGAGAGAAAGACAGGGAGAGGGAGAGAGGAAAGAAAGGAAGGTATAGGTTTGGAGTAGTGATTCTGATATAAGCTGTAGAAAGAATTAAAATGAGCCTTAAAAAGTTCTTGAAACTTTTATCATAAGATTCTTTGTGGACTATTTTTTATAAGGAATTCTCAATATTTCTTTGAATTCAAATTTCTTACTATTTGATTTAAAGTAAATTTGGAGGTTCTAATGCAGTGATAGAAAAAATGTTTAATGGAATGGATCATGTTATTCTTGGATATACTTCAGTGTTGTTATCTAAACAGTTCTTGTTGCAACTCCAGATTTTAGGTTTTTTTTTTCTTTCTCTGCCAGTTCAGTTAGTATAGTATTTGGTTCTTTATTGAAATGTCTTGTAGGAAAAATTGTACTTTTCTCTTTTTGCTTTTAATTAATTAAATGAAGATAACATAATCTTCAAAGCTTTGTAAGCTTCAACCACAATACTCACTTCACATGTGGAGACACACATATACAGTAATTTATTCACTAATTTTTATGGTTTTAATTCCAAGACAAAATTAATCATGTGCTATGTATTACTTTTAATATTCAGAAGTTGTGCAATGTTGTATGATAATTTTTGGTTTTTCCCATGAATGATAAAAATTTGAGCAATGAATCAGTCATGTGAGCGGTTGCAATGGTATGTGACAAAGTTTTGATGTTTCCTTTATTAAAATGTGTTTGTAAGTTAACATTCAATGCCCAATTCTCAAACAAGAGAGCATAACTTAGTCTGGTTCAGCAAGTACATAAAGACATTCTTTTGGACAATATGTGTAATACATAAAGTCGTCATTAAGTTTTGCCGTGAGGATGATCCTTGACTGCTTCTTCTCTTCTATGTAATTATGCAAATTTAATTAACTACATTGTGCTACAAAAGTGTGTTAAGTAAAAATTAATTTGGTATGTTGAAAGAGAAATAAAAAGCTTTAAATATAGGAAGATCAGAAGGTAGAAAAGAATAAACTTATTTAAAGGATGTATTTTATTTCTTAGTTCTGGCAATTAATAGGAAATAAAGGGTGGACTGTGCAGTCGTTTTGATATGAAAACAGGCTCTCTTATTGCTCATAGTTTCCTTAAAAAATAGAATGAAATCCAGATGTAAGAGCAAAACAATTTTCTCTAGAATTTGCAGTTTATACAAACAAATATTGGACCATCAATCTTCTTTCCACTTCCAACAACCTATAAGCACACATTTTTAATATGCCCCTACACTGTGCACAGCCTTTTCATTCTTGGCGTTAAAAACAAAAACAAAAACAACATCAACAACAACAACAATAACAATAACAATAACAACAACTACTACTACTACTACTACAACTGAAGCACTTGTAAAGTAATGTTGCCGATAGTTGATCAGTTTCAATGTAAATGGGGGAACCATTTTGCTTTGGGGTATTTCATGAAATTTTGAAATATAGTCCTGTACCATTTTTCAATGAATGAAAATATTGAATAGTAATGAAAGAGAGAATGTATATATTAATGCAATTGAAAAGGAAAGATGGGTGAAAGATTATAAAGCATTATGGTACGATGAAAAATGTGAAATAATAAAAACATACTCAACTACAAATGCAGATGACCTAACAATATATGAACTACATGAAGCACTTAATAAATGTAAAAATCGAAAAGCACCTGGTATGAATGGCATGAACACAGAACTACTAAAATACTCCGGGAATGTTATTTCATCTCCGCCTGCTTCATTTCTTTAATATGTGCTTGAGAAATAAACAAATTCCTAAAGAATGGCATAAAGCAAAAGTAATCTCACTTTATAAGAAAGGTAACCGAGGAGACCCAGACAATTACAGAGGAATAAGTCTATTGGATAACATATAAGATCTATGCGAGAATAATAAATGAACGATTAAAAATAATAGCAACCTTATATCAGAAGAACAAATGGGATTTCAAAAAGGCAGATTGACTGCTGTTGCCATTTTCACATTAAAAAGAATAATAGAAGAAAGACGGGAACACAACTGTGAAACACGCCTAACATTCATGGATATAGTAAAAGCTTTTGATAATGTCAATAGAAGCCTTCTGTGGAACATAATGGAAAGAAGGGGGTACCCAAAACACTTGATAGAGGTGATAAAAGAACTATATGAAACAATGAGTATTAAGTTGGTTATAAAAGGAAAATTGACAGAAGAGATTCCCACCAACAAAGGTGTAAGACAGGGCTGTTGCAAATCACCGACACTTTTCAATATATACATGGACGACATGTTTAGAACATGGAAATTGAATATAAATCGAGGGATCTATTTTAGGAAAATATTATTAAATTCAATTTTATATGCAGATGACAAAGTGATAATACAGGACACTGAAGACAAAATGCAAATGGCAGTATATAAATTAAATCAAACTGCAATAGAATATGGTTTTAAAATATCCAAAGAAAAAACTAAAACTATGGCATATAAAGGAAAATACCCAGTGAGAACAAAGATTGTGGAAAGAGTATAAAACAGGTAAAATACTTCAAATGTCTAGGTTGCCACACCTCGTTTGAAAGAGATATAGATTTAGATAAAAAATTACATAAATTTAGAAATATATGCGGCACAATACACAGACATCTAAAAAATAAAACTAGGATAGAAACAAGAATAAAATTCTTCAACACAGTAGCTGTACCAGTGTTAATGTATGGAGATGAAGCAAGAGTAACATCAAAAAAAAGATAACTCTAAAATGCATGCAGCTGAAATGAAATTTCTAAGAAGCACTCTAGGTTATAATATCCTAGATAAAAAGAAAAGCACAGAGATAAGAAATAAACTGGAGGTCGAACCATCGCTGGAGAAACTGGAAAGAAATCAGAAAAGATGGTATGAACATCTCATACGAATGCGCAACAGCAGACTACCAGGACTCGCAGTGGACTTCAGATGCAGAGGGAGATGAGATGTAGGAAGGCCCAGAAGGAAGTAGACACCGCAACAGGTTCTTGAACCTAACACTTGAAGTGCAGAAGAAGAAGACAATTTTTCAAAAATTTGAATACTTTGACTTGGTAATTGGTAATTTTGCGTGAAATATTGGCAATTTTTAATTTTCTTTAAATCATTATTGTTTCAAAAACCAACAATTTTTATTACATATTGACCTTGAATAGCATGCAGGACGCTTAAGAGAATGATGCACCTTTCATATTTGTTGAAAATTCTGATACTTGAAAATTGCAAAAATTCAAAATTTACTAAGGGCGAAAAAATATGTGCTCTTTTAGTACCACTAGTTTACGACTAATAATTATCTTTCTGCGAATGCATTAAAGAAGGGAATTGTAATAAAAATGTTCAGTAATATTAATAGTATAATTTGCTGGTGAGGTTAATTAACTAGTGGTGCTGCAGTAGCACATATTTTCTTGCGTTAATTCTAAATTTGCAATTTTCGAAAATTCAGTGTGTTCAACGCAAATGAGACCCACACCATTCTTTAAGCACCTCTTCTTTTGTCCTTAAAAAATTGAACAAAAAATTTTGAGCGGTTTTTGAAAAAAAAAATGTTCAAAACAATTTCAAAATTGCTTGTTTTTACACCTAAATTACACCTAAACTACTTACAGGTAGTAATTTACTGTATATAGAAAAAATGGACATAACCTTATTTGAAGATTTGTCTGTAAAGAACAGATTTCATTAAGAAAACATCTGTCTTTAATATTATATTTGTAGCAAGACGCCCCCTCCAAAATTGCACATTTGAAATTTTCAAATATCAGGGATTTCAACGAACATGATACCTGCACAATTCTAGTAAGTGTCCTTTACTCCATCCGAGGACAAAGTTTCATCCAAAAATTTG